TATGCAGATATACTGTTTCTATGTGTGTGTATAAATAATATACGTATAACTAGCATAATGATTTAATGCAAACATGATGCAGATATACTGTATATATTTGTGTGCATAAATAATACACTTGTATAACTATTGTACTTTTTTAATGTACTGCAATTTGTATAAATGAGTCCTATATTTCACTGGTACTTTTCCATACAAATTTTACATCTACAGGCAATCTACTCATAAGTAGCACATGTAATCAGTTTTTCCATCCATTCAGATTGGTTAAGTGCAGGAATCTTCAAACTTGACAGCTTTAAGACCTGTGGACTTCCAGAATTCCTCCTCCAGTCACATTAGCTTAGGAATTCTGGGAGACACAATGCACCAGAAATCAAGGTTTTCCCTATTCCCTTCTCCCATGCTGAGATCTAGTTGGCTATTTCCCATAGCTGCAGCTCTCCAAAACACAAGGCCAGCTGATGGGAAGATGGGCCATCTAACGTGAAGAAAGGCGAAGAAGACATGGATGGAATGCGGAAATGGGGAACTATGGCCCCTTTTATGACTTGTGGACTTCAACTCCCAGAATTCCTGAGCCAGCAAGGAATTCTGGGAGCTGTAGTCCACAAAAGGGCCATAGTTCCCCATCCCTGGGGTAATGGAATGCCTCAATGATCTTGGGTTAAGAGAGGAACAGTTGAAGTCCACAAGTCTTAAATCAGACAAAAGAGCCACCCCAGTGGCTTAACGGTCCCAGAAAGAAACTTAGGAAGAACCTGGCCTAAAGAATCAAGCAGATAAAAGTGGAGTTTTGTAGCTCTGGATTTAAATAAAACTGGGCAAAAGAGCCTTGCTAGGGGAGAAAGATTTCCTGTGATGGAGGGGAGAATTTAAAATATAAAGATGGGAAATATAAATTTAAAATATAAAGAGAGAGAGAGAGAGAGATTTGACAAAGTCAAATCAAGAAGGTATAAAACACGCAAAAGGATAAGTTTGTTTTTGTGTATGCAAAAAATTGGCAAAAGGGAGCTTCGTGTAGACATACGTAAGTTGCACAATTTTTTTTATAGATTCGCTATAATACGATGAATTTGTAGTTGAGGATTGCATTTATTCTTTCCCCGAAGTTTCTGTTGTTCTATCTCAAACAAAGGGCAAGAAAAAGAAAAACAATAATGTTTTCAATAGCTTAAAAAATGTCTGGGTATTTTACAGATATATTTGATGGGAATTAATTAACTCCACAGGGGAGAGTATTTCGGATTCAAGAAATCAATGCCTTCCAGATGCCTTAGACATCTAAATTTATATTCCTTGATGTTTTTTTGCAGTCAATTACCACTAAACAAATGTTCAAACATGCTAGGACTGCCCCATTAAACAAATTCCCTCCTACGCTGATGTCTTTAAGAGCATGGAAGCTTACATTTTCAACAAATGAGACAAGATTATGACTGGTTTTATGTCTTGCCTTCCATCCCATTTTTAGAGGATTTTTTAAATAAAACATTGCATCAAAAACATGCAACAACTCTTAATAAGATTTACTGGTCATGAATGTTCTTCAATAAAAAAAATTCCTTGAGGATTAAAGGGTAGAAGAATGGAATCCCATTTTTAGAATGACTGCATTTTCTATTCCTGAGTTTTCTTCTGGGGTTGCTGGTGTGAGATCACAGTTCCGCCCTGACTCACAATCAATTAATTATCTACACTCAGACTTGTTCAACGTAATTAATTTTTCTGAGTGTCTGAGCTCCCATTGCTATTTGTCACTCAGCTAATTCAATTTAATTCAATCCCACATCCAAACCAACTCTGGGCAAGTCGAATTATAATAGGCCTCTGACATTTTAGACTTCATTTTTGGGACATCCATTTTTGTGAGCCAACTGGCTGATGATGAATCCGGGAGCCAGTAAGATCTGGTCTCTTCCTTTCAGCACAACAATTGTCCCAACTGTCTTTTGAAGACAATTTCAAAGATACATCACTGGTGACAGTGGTGGGATTCCAAATTCCATGCTATCGGTTCTATGGACTTCAAGATCACTCAAAGATCACTTCCTGCACATGTGCAGCACTAAAAGTTCACTTCGCGCGTGCGCTCAGAACTCAAAGATCGACCTTGGTGAGGTGAGCTGATTTTTACCTCAGCTGAGGCGTGGCAATCTGCTCTGCCTCGTGAATCAGCTGAGCTAAAAATCAATGGAATATAGGACTGGGAAGGGCAGGGGGTGGGTGGGTCCAGTCAGAGGTGGCATTTGCTTGTTCTCCAAACTGGTCAAAATTTCCACTACCAGTATTCCAGAACCGGTCTGAACTGGCTGAATACCACCTCTGACTGGTGCAGAGGTGGTATTCAGCAGGTTCTGACCAATTCTGGAGAACCAGTAGTGGAAATTTTGAGTAGTTCGGAGAACCGGCAAATCCCACCTCTGACTGGCCCCGCCCCCCTCTATTTTCTGCCTCTTGAGTCCAGGGGTGGGATTCAATATTTTTAACAACCAGTTCTGTGGGCGTGGCTTAGGTGGTGAGCGTGGCTTGGTGGTCATGTGACTGGGTGGACATGGCTTGGTGGTCATATTATTGGCTGGGCATGGCCAACTCAATATCACTCATATTGAGGCACGCATCTCCTTGCCTGGCCTCTCATGACTGCGGGGATGCTGCAACAGTCATAAGTGTGAAAAATGGTCATAAGTCACTTTTTTCAGTGTCATTGTAACTTTGAATGGTCACTCCATGCAAGCAAAGTACCAGCAAAGGAGGGGGAAAAAACTCCACAGACGTTCCTGAGACAGGAAGTCTAGTCCTGCCAAGAATGTAATAAGGGTTAACAGAGAGGCAGTTTCTGTAAGCAACCCCAGAATGTTTCCTTCCTGCCTTCCTTACAGGATTAGGCCAGAAATTTCTTCTAACAACTGGTTCTCCAAAGTGCTTAGAATGCTAACAACCAGTTCTAGCAAATAGGTGCAAACTGGTAGAATCCCACTCCTGCCCGAGTCCCAGCTAATCGGCTGGGTCTTCTTTTGTTGCCCTACACAGGAGAACAGAGCTGCAAAGCAGGTTAGTGGGGTAGGGAGGGAATGGAGATTTTGCAGTATCCTTCCCCTGCCACGCCCACCAAGCCATGCCCACAGAACTGGTAGTAAAAAAAATTGAATCCCACCACTGGACTGATGAGCATCTTCAGACACTTAAGGAAGAAGTCCATCTAAAACAGATTTCTTGGCAGAACAGATTCAACTCAGTTCCTGACACAGCAGCTTCAGCTGATTCAATTAGGAATGTTCCAAAACCTTCTTGCAATTCCATTCCCCACTCCTTTTTTCTAAGGTGGAATTATTTTTATTATCATTTTCAATTTTTCATCACTTATTTGTGACATATCCGTCCAGCCCACTTAATTTCTCTATATTTGTTTATAAAACTTGTACGCTCACCTATATTAGGCCTGATAATCATAGCCTGTGATATTCACAACCCTGTTTCATAAGAACAGAATAAATATGAATCCACAAAACCACACGAAGTATCATGTATTCCACTCCAGCATCTCACCAATTCTGTGTTTGCTGGTTCATTTCCATCCAAGCCCAAAGCTGGGTAAACAGCCAAGACTTCACAGCTCTTCAAAAGGTCAAAACTGATGCCTTTCAATACAATTTGCCCGCATATACTTAAGTAATCTATTCGTGGTACACTTCCCTTTAGAGAAAAGAGTACGAATGAATCCCGACTTACGACCACAATGGAGCCTAAAATTTCTGCTGCTAAGCCAGACAGTTGTTAACTCAGTTTTGCCCCATTCGACAACCTTCCTTGTCACAACGATTAAGGGCATTACTGCAGTTGTTAAGTTAGTAAGCGTTGTGGCTCGACAGCCGCCAGTGGAGCTGGCAGCATACTCGGACAGTGAGGAGGTTGCGGAGGAACATGGGCCAGCCCTGGAGTCTGGGGAAGGCTCAGACAAGTACTCTGCATCAGAGGCAGAGATGGGGCAAGGGCTGTCTGAAAGTTATCATCTACCTTTGGAGTTGGAGATGAGTGGGGCAGAAGAACAGCTGGAGCCTGTTTCCAGTGTGCACATGCACAGAGCTGCCAGGAGAAGGGAACAATTAAAGAACAGGGGTCGACTCTGAAGTAAAGGCACAGGTGGACGGTGAATGGCCCCTCCCATAAGGAATAAAGAGGAGCAAAAGTGAAGTGGTTTTTGCAGGAGACAATTAGTTCAATTCATTAGGGTGAAGATCTGTTCCTGACTTGTTGCCAAGTAATTGCTGCTATGGCATGGTGTTTGGAAGATATCAGCCTGACAACTCTCCAAGCCTGATAAAGGTCTGTGGTTGTGAAACTGATGGCCAAGACTTTGCTGGAGAGGAATTCATTTTAACCTAAATAAAAGGGGTTTTATTGGGACAAGGAGTCTGCTTCATGATTTTGGGAAGCCTAAATCAGAACAGTCATAAAGACAAATCATCGTAACTTCAGTCACTAAACGAATGGTTGTACGTTGAGGACCACCTGTAGTATGCTTCCAATGGTCAAGTGTTTCATAAAACAATTTGTACTCTTGCAGAGTTATCCTTTTTTCAAAATTCTCACGGCCCTTATAGGCATTTTCATCCATTCTTCCTTGACACAAACATTCACAAGTAGACCTGTCACTTCTATGTTCAGCACATCCTTATTATTCATCCATCTCCAAAGTGCCCCTTTTCATTATTCGTTCATTTCAGTCATTACTTTCATTTTTAATTCTAATAACTCTGCTGACAGCTCCTTGTTTAGAGCTCTTTTCATCTACCTCCAATTTTTTTTAAAAAAATCTCCATTAAAAAAGACTGCATTTTCTTTGCCTCTTTCAATATTTTTTTTCTCGTAACCCCTTTGCCAATTTTCCTAGGAAATATCTTATTTTTCCTGTTCAAACATCGTAAGATACCTACCTCTCATCCTCACGATTTGCAGCAATCATTTTCTTAAGTCTAATTTTCTTTTTTCATCCATGGCCTCTTCCCCTTCATTCCACATATTTTCCATTAGCATTTGCATAATTCAACATAACTCCCTGGCGCAGTAATACAATTTTCTTCGCTCTGATCTCTGTAATTTCGATACCCACCTTCCATTACTTCTATCCAAAACTAACCTGTCTTCTCATATCCTTTCAAACAGGACACACTCACACACACACTTCTTAATGTTCATTCTAGTTTGTTTGGCCTCTTTCCTTTCTTTCCATGCTCTCTTTTCTCTTAAGATCCCCTCTTGATGCTACTAAAACATGGTTATGTCCCACATTCAGAAGCTCTCATAATCTTTATATCCTTCACTAGTTTTCTCAATCATTTAGCGCAAAGATCTTCAAACTTGGCAAGTTTAAGACTTGTGGACTTCAACTCCCAGACTTCCTGAGCTAAAATGACTGGAGGAGGAATTCTGGGAGTTGAAGTCCACAAGTCTTAAAGCTGTCAAGTTTGAAGACCTCTGATTTAGCGCAATCAGTCTCAAGTTCCTTTGCGCCCACAAGAGATCAGCTTGAATTGCGTTGACCCTTGTCTACCGCCAATTCGAATTGAACATTAGTGGATCAGATTTTTGTAGAGAGCTAACATGGAATAAACTTATACTCATTTGAACAGCCTTGCTTCCTGATTTGTTGTGTCTGACACTATGTGGCCATACACACCAATTTATGTCTAAACCATCTCTGAAACAAAGATACTTTTGGATAAACAGATAGTCACTAAACAATCATTTGTTCCCAATCTTTTTAAAGTCTCCAAATAACCACATTACTGATTCCCACCCATCTATTCATCTCACTAATGTTTTCCAACCTGGAGGGTAGTCATTTAGAACACTGCACACATTTTCTCCAAACACATCTGTGGTTCTGTCATTATTACCATTCACAAGAAATGTAACTGCGGCTACCACCTATCTATGAATTTCTACTTCACAGAAGACCTCAGTTCATACTTTCTCACTTACATTTAGCCCTTTGAATTTATGTAATTAACCTTCCCCTTGCATGCCCCTGCATGTATTCATCAACCCTACTCTAGAAGTTCAGACTGTCTTCATTCAATGTTACATTCTCCCCTTTCTCTCTTCATTGCACAGACACATAACCAACCTTCCTTCCTTCCTTCCTTCCTTCCTTCCTTCCTTCCTTCCTTCCTTCCTTCCTTCCTTCCTTCCTCCTCCATCTCCTTCCTTTCCCTTCCCTTTGTTTCCCCCATCCATCCCTCCTCTTCGTTTATTTACTCTTCATTCAATGTTACATTCTCCCCTTTTCTCTTCATTGCATACATATAACCTTCATTCCTTTCTTCCCTCCCTCCTCCCCTTCCCTTATCCATCCATCCATCCATCCATATCCATCTATACTCTTCATTTATTTACTCTTCAGTGTTACATTCTCCCCTTTTCTCTTCATCACATAGACATATAATCTTCCTTCCTTCCTTCCCTCCCTCCCTCCTCCCACCTTCCCTTCCATTCTCCATCCATCCATCCTCTTCATTATCCATCCATCCATCCATCCATCCATCCATCCATCCTTTTCATTTATTTACTCTTCATTCCAACTTGTAATCTTCCATAAGCCATGGACATCCAGCCATGGACATCCTATACCCAATGATACTGATTCCGCCGCCCATCATGGCTTTGGTCCATCAACATTTTTATACGTGACCTTTTAGGAAGATGAAAAAGAGGTCGAGTAGTTCACCTGTGGTTAGTTACACCTGTGCCTTAGGCAACCTTCCCTTTTAACAGGAAGAGCATTCCCATGGACTTTGGGACAAAATTCTGCATATATTCTACAGCAGCTGTACTCATTGCTGTTTGCTTCTCGTTGCAATTCAAGGTGTTTGCATTTATCTACTAAGCCATTCCGCCTAGATGCAAGACTGGATGCACCAGGGGTGGGATGCTACCGGTTCGGCCCGGTTCTATAGAACCAGTAGCTCTAAAGAGCAGCAGACACCGAACTGGTTCTGTGTTTGCTGCTGTTTGGCCCACCTGCCCGTCTGGGCTCTTATCTGTCCTTTGTTTCCTGCTTTTGCAACCTCAGCTGCTTTGCGCGGCACAGCTGAGGGTGTAAAAGCAGAGAAAAAGAGGCTTTTTGAATGCTGCGCACCTGCGTGCTGCGCTTTTCAGCTCTGCGGGCGACACAGCTTAAGGTTTTTTTACAAACGTGCGCGCAAAACATAGTCACAGAACCGGTAAGTAACACCAGTTGAATCCCACCCCTGAGCTGTACTCATTGCTGTTTGCTTCTCGTTGCAATTCAAGGTGTTTGCATTCATCTACCAAGCCATTCAGCCTGGATGCAAGACTGGATGCACCCTTTACTTGGACTCCAGATGTGTTCCCGACTTCTTACCATGGATATTTTTCCTGTACAATCCTGCTAATCCTTGAGGCTTACAGGATTCAGCAGTATAGGTAGTTTTCGAGATCAATGGATCTGTAGGTTGTCCTATCTTAGCAAAGGATCAGGTAACCCCGAAGGCAAAAAGCTTTCGTTCTGACTTTGGAAGGAGCTCTTTTGTAAATAAACTGGGGCATTACCTGAGCACTGAGCTCCGCACTGGCAACAGGAAAGGCATCCAGCCAGGAAACACTCAGCTCCATTCAGTTTCCCAGACTCCACCCCGCAAAGGATTACGGCGCCGTGAAAAGGAGGTGATTACCTGAGCATTGAGCAGCTCTTCACACTTCTGCGCCTGTTTCTCAACTGCAGAGACATACTGCTTCTCCAAGGCCTTTTCCCGCTCCTCCACGAGCACCTTCAGCAAGGCCTGGAACAAAGGAAAGAGAAGACAATCAGCCCAGGCTGGTGAATTTCCTCCCTCCCAGTTTCCACAATTCTGTAGAACTGGAGAAGCGAGCACGAATACAGCTGCCTATTAAAGGACATCCAGAGATTAAACAGAAGGCATTTTGTAAAGAGGGATCTTAAATGAGTCTAACTGAAGTCTGCAACCAGAGTGTTTGTTTCTGGGGCTCCTTGATAGAAACTCTTCTATCGAAGGGATGAGTAACAGATAGGGAAAGTGAAGAGTTTTCTGTTTTTTTAAAAAGAACCTTCTCAACTAGCTTTCTGGGACCACCCAAGGTGAAATGGAGAGGCTTGGTTCGCAGGAGGAGAGTCAGACATATTTCACTGGCTGACAAAACTCCACATCCTCTCAGCAGAGACGGCTAGATCCCAGGGGCCAAGCAGGATCGCCACAACCACAAGTCAAGTGAAAACAGATGGAAATTATGACTCGCTTGAAAATATAGAAGCCATGCCCCCAAAAACGCGTCTCTCACTCCAAACTCGAAGAGATGGGGAATCAGGACTGAAAAATCTAAATTAGAGCAACCAATCAGCCTGTTTAAAAAAAAAGAAAGGAAAAAAAATACGCAAAAAACGAGAACATTTTTTAACTGTGCGTGGTGCAGAGGTCTACCCTACACTGGGAAGAGGGGGGAACGAAATACGAAATCCATGCTGCGTTCTTCCATTTCCTTTGACTGAGTGATGGCTTTACCAGTTTTTCGCACACTTTCCACGGCAGAAGTGTCAAATCTTGTTACCAACAATCTGCATGATTCCCTTTTGCACTTTCTAAAAAAAGCTGTTGACAGATACAGCACGATGCACAAAAAGAGCCAATCTTTTAAATACATTGGAGAACAAAAGCGTTTGAACTTGCAATTAGGCTAGCAAAATTTTGGTTTTCCTTGGGCATGTAAGCAGAGCATTGAAAAACAACTTGTTGGTAATTTTTAATAGTACAACGTTGCTGTTTAAACGACAGCCTAAAATATACAAAATGCTTGCAACAGTTTTTTTTCTTTTCTCTTAAGTCATCATGTCTTCAAATATCATTACATAATTGACATATATACACATACACACACACACATATATATGTCGTTCAAAGAAGTGCTTGACAAAAAAAAATACTCCCTTCCCTCCAAATACTTCATTCTATATTATACAGAATAAACTAAAAAGTTACTGAACATCATTTAAGGAGTAAAAATTAAAATAATTAGCAAATTTCAACATGCTTAAAAAGGATGTTAGTCTAAAATGAGGGAGAATTACATGAGCATTACAAAACTGGCACACAGCGTTAAAAAAAATAATAATAACTGGAAGTTGGAAATTATTGTGGCGTTTCACAACCAAGTTGATTCTTCCATTTCATTTTTTTAAAGATGCATTATTATTTATTAAAAATACACTAATCCCATTTTCAAATTGGACATTTCCAAGACTTTTGCCAATTTTGAAATGTAAAGGATATGATAACCCAAAAGAAAACCCCTTAAAATAACAAAAACACCCTACAGTCAAAATACAACAGCAATTTTAACAAATTAGGACCAGACATTTCTTTCCAATAAACACCAACTTCACGGTTAGGAATTTCGTGCAATGTCTCCTAACATTGCTATGTATGGGCAATTCCAATGTGAAACCAAATCAAGAAGAATATTCCACTGCCGGTGTGTCTTTCTGTTGCGGTGGGGCTCCGAATGGTAGCCACAGAAGGAAGAACATTGTAAGGTAGATTATGGAAAAGAACCAGGCAGATTCCTTGGGTCAGAGTGGACCTTTCTAGGCCAACAGCCATGGATCTGGCTACCTTTCCTTACACTATGGAAAACAAATAAATCTAATTATAAAAATAAATTTCCTCTATATTCTCAGACTAGCTCGATACTCATGCTTTGCTACGAAACTATGTGGTCGGGCTTAGTTTTTGGGGAGGAAAATAAGGAGGGCTCTGCCTGCCAGCATCCTTCAGTATTCATCTGGCTAGCATCCAGTCAGTGTGTGAGAGAGCTGAGGGCTGTTTGGAAATTGAAACAGTATTTGCTGTGTGAGCAAGGATACAGCAAGGAGCCTGGGCGTGGCTTAGCTCAACTGTTCTGTACTAAAGCTGCTTGGTGCAGTGAAACTTAAACTGAAACTCCTCTCCTCTGCTTGTGTTTTGCATTTGGAACAGATTTCTTTTCAGGTGGGGAGCAGGAGTAGAACTCCTTAGCATCAGAGCGTGTTAATAATAATATACTAAAAACTAATGCTCTGATGGTCATTTCGAAAAATCCTTTCTTAGCGAGCCCCTAGAAGCCAAGAAGGACATATGTGCCAAATTTCAAGTTTGAAGGCTTTACAGTTCTTTACAGCTAATGCTTTAGGACTACAAGCATATAACCATGTTTTCCGAAAAATGACTGCTTGCACACAATTGCCAACAGGATTTGTTTATGGGTCTACAGTTCATTGCGTGGTTGGTGTGATCCTTCCATCTCACCTTCTGAAGCCATGGTTTAAAACCACGAATGTCATGCCCCTGGTGGAGACTGACTCTGAGGGAGAGGAGGAACAGCTGACAGGGAGTGGAAGTGTGGCTCCAGAGGTGGTGGAGGAGGCTGGGGAAGGGCAGAGGCCGGCTGGGCAGTCAGAGGAGGACCCAAGCCCTCTACATCCTAGGGCACACAGGGAGGAGAGGATAAGGGAAAGACATGGTTTACTGGGGAGGAGAGGGCCTTGATCCTCTACATGGGCTGCAGCTGTGACAACAAAGTGGAAACAAAGTGTGGAAATATCTTTAGTTTATGGTTTCTCTCTAAGTTTGCTGTCCTTCTCAGTGTGTGTTATCTGTGGATGTCCTCCAGCCCTTATCTTGCCTGGTTTGTGTTGCTTTTTTCCTTCTTCTTGTAACAGTTTGTGAGGGAGTTTTTTGTCTTCCATCAAGAATATTTGGAGCTTGGAAGCAACGTGAAGGAATAAAAGGGGCTTCACGGACTGTGTTTGTTTTGTATCCCACTCTGGGTCATCACAACGAATGACAAAACGTTCCATGCTGGGAACTAATGCACCAAATATTTTTGTTCCATTTTAACTTTTTGTTTTAATTTTCAATCAGAAGCCCCTAGGAAAACTTGCCACTTCTAATCTCGGAGGGTGTAGAAGAAGACTCCTCAAAATCCAGTTCAGCTACTTTGCAAGATTTCCAATTAATTAATGGACAGGCCAAATGTCAATGGCAGAGATGGGCTAACCTTTTCGTCGTTGCGTGCCTGCACCCATAATGCAATGCGTGCACTGACCCTGCCCTTCCCCCCCAACCACCCCGCACCTCTGCACATGTGTGCGCGATCACTGCATGAGCCCCGCCCCCTGAGCATATGTAGCAGATACCTGACAATCAGCTGGCTGGCGAAAGGCACATGCACATGCACAGTGGACCTGATCCAGGGCGACGGCTCGCATGCTGGCAAAGATGGCTCTGCGTGCCACTTCTGGCACATGTGCCATAGGTTTGCCATCACGGGTCTATGGAAATTCTCAGCCATATTGGTCACGGTTGTCCCAAAGATGCTTTTTCAATAGGCAGCTTGCTCTTACTTTGTTTTTTCTTGAAGACATTTCGCTTCTCATCCAAGAAGCTTCTTCAGTGTTGACTGAAGGGTGAAGAATCCTTCCATGCTCCACCATTCAGCCAGAGCTGAAAAAGCTTCCTGGATGAGAAGCAAAACATCTTCAACAACAAAGTCCAGCTGTCTTTTTGGACAACCATGACCTGGATGGCTGAGACTCTTCATAAACAGGAAGCCTTTGGAAAACCTTCCCTGTTTCTTTGGAGTCTTTGCACACGTAGTCCTCAACATACAACTGCTCATTTAGTGACCATTTGAAGCTACAACAGCAGTGGAAAACGTGATTTGATGACGGTTCTCCACACTTACGACCATTGTAGCATCCCCATGGTCCCATGATCAAAATCCAGACGCTTGGCAACTGACTCATATTTAATGATGGTTGCAGTGTTCTGGGGTCATGTTCTTACAAGCAAAGCCCATGGAGAAGCCAAGGTTCACTTAACAACCATGTTACTAACGTCAGAACTACAGGGCTTCTCTTATCAGCTGTGTGCCAAGAAAGGTCTTATATAGGGGTGAGATTCAATTTTTTTTAACAACCGGTCCTGATGCAGCCCTCAATGAAATCAAGTTTGATACCCTTGTCCGAAGTCAAGGACTACCTATAGTCCTGGCACAGGGGGACTACACTAAGCAAGGAGACTTCTATTGAATTAAATGTATTGAAACCCAACTGAAAATTGGCATGGGCGTACATAAGCCAGTGTGTACACACTAGAACGATGAGTAAATGTACATCTAAATGTATATATCAGCCTCTTCAGGAACACCCCCACCCCCACTGCTTTCCCATTGCCACTGTATGCCCCAATCATTTGTTCCCAAGCTATATAGCTCTCAGGATGAAACTATCCATGCTCACCCACCATCCCTTGGTCAGATGTTAAGGATGGACCTCAAGCTGCCTCTTAGCTTCCTCAGGGTAATCTCACTACAGGAATACTGTCATGCCCCTGAATCTGAGGAGGAAGCCTAACAGCTGACAGGGAGTGGGAGTGTGGCTCCATTGGCTGTGGAGGAAACTGGGGAAAGGCAAAGTCCGGCTGGGCAGAGCAGAGAAGAGGTAGAACAAGGGAGAGGGAGTTCAGAGGAAGAACCAGGCCCACTCCCTCTTCATCCTAGGGCATGCAGGGAAGAATGGAGAAGAGAGCAACATGGATTGCCTGGCTTACGGGGGAGGAAAGGGCCCTGATTTCCCTTCATTAGCCACAGTTGGGAAGACAGTATATAAGACATGCAGGCTGCAAGTGGCAAGCTGTTGGGAGCAAACATGACTTTATCTTGTGTTGTCGTGGTTTATCTGTGTTCTTGGCATCTTCCCAACCATGTGAGTTTTGCCGTGCATTCAAGT